GTATATTATACTTTTAAAAGTTAGAATCTGCTTAGAACGGGATGTTTAACGTTTATCGCGTCTCTTGTTTAGGTTAAAAAGCATTTTTTCCTGAAGAAACTATAAACTTAGGAGCAATCTTCTGTAAACGAAATTATTAATTCTTTTCCAATAAATAACATAAGCTCTTCTTGCATTCCTTCTTTTCAGTTAAGGAGGGAATCGGTATTGCTTTTAATATCTGTAAAGGTTTCCTCAAGTTTATCATGCAAAAGAAATTAAAAGTTTTTTAAAGGAAACGTTTCCATTAGCTAATTACTGCATTAGTAGTTGATGGAAGAAATTGTGAGTTTCAGTCAGAGCTGCTGCAAGATATTTTACTGTCCGTTGCAATCTCTAAAGGTCTTAAATTCAGCTACCTACTGACTTGCCAGAACCCAAACATTTTGCCTCTCGCAATTCTGTTGCCATTGATTTCGTTAAGTTCTAAAAATTTGACCATTCCTAAATTTTGTTTCTCGATGCATCTCTAAATCCTAAATAGTTTGCGCCCAGTGCGATCCCAGGGGCTGGATTAACTACCCAGGCCCTGCCTTCCTTTAAATTTTGCAAGATTTTGAACGTTCTTGCGCATGCTTTAATTTGCATAACATTGTGGTCTGAGCGAATATAAGTAACATGATTGAAAAGGATGATGGAACAATGAATAAATTAAGCTTGACTGTTCGTAATACCTGTTAACATATTTCGCTTAATATAATTTTTAAAATTAATATAGGGACAGCTGTCCACTATTATTAATTTTGTACCGAATATTATTAATCCTTTCTTTATAAACATTCTGATTATCCAATACAGAAAATTCGACCACAGTATGTTTTTTAATATTTGCAATTTCAATAATCTGGTGAAAGAGGGTTCGACACTTATTTATCTTTATATATATTTATAAGCAGCACAACCCTAGTTAAAGAAAAACACAACTTTAATTAAATTTTTAATACTTATAGTTTTTGAATGTCTCCGGTTTCGAAGGAGTAAATGGAGTAAATAAAATCATTGAACATTTCTTCGAAGCCGATAACTCTTAAGACTTTTATGTGTATAAAGCAGTACTTAATACTTGGGAAAATATTCAACTACACCAGAATATAAGTGAGTATCATAATGCAACGGTAATGATAAATGGAAATGAACTTCGAAATTTGTTATGAAATAGGAATCCTATATCATTTTCATTCTACGTGCATAATAGTAACGTTGATCGTAGTTCCCGAGATGACTTCTGTGGAACCTTTGCTCAGCGAATATAGGCTTTATGAATAAAGCATCAAAAGAAGAAATAAAGCAGATTTATCTTTATGAGAGTTAAAAAATAATCGCTCTTGTTGTGACTTGTGTGGCTAATCTCACTTGCCTGACAGCAACATCAGGACAAGCTCACGAAATTCATGGTTGCAAGGAGAGCAAGACTGCGCCTGTCGTTGGCAAGAGCCTTCAGCACCATATGGGTGATAATCTGTTTTTTGTGACTTTAAAATAGAGATAGAAGAGAGTAAAACTCTTTGTAAATGTTTAATAGGCTGAAGGGTAGTGAGGTTTCTACTCCATCAGTTAATGAGTGATGAAAACAGGGAGAATTGTTTAGGTGCTTTCAGTTCTGATGCTTGAAAAATGTCTGGAGCAAAACTGACTACAATACTATCATTCCGTAAAAGCTTGCATTTACGAATATATTCGTCACAGGCGAGATGGTTAGTTTTGAAGTCGTAATACAGATATTATACATAACTTCTAAGCAGTTACCAGTTTTCCGGTATACTGTGCTGCAATTGCTACTTCGGAAGATTGTATTGTGGACTATACCAAAAAGTTATTCGAAAATCTTCTCGTTCTTTATTCGAGTAGTGCTTTGAGACCCGTATTTTGGCTCGGACGACTATTTCCTACACCGTTCTCTTACTCTTGAAATGAAAAAGGGAAACTGCCATGTCTTCCGAATCCAGAGATCCCTGACCCCTCCTATAAGGGCTCGAAATATACCTTACGGCTAGTTTCCTGCACCAGTTCTTTAGGAGATGGTTTTAAAAGATATTTTATCTTTCCGTAAAAAGCCATAGAATCCTTCATAAGCGCTTTTTTTGGGTAGATGACAACATATACAATACATTACCTTCTAATGGCAATAATGTATAATTCTATTGGCAATAATGTATTGCCTTCTACTGCGTTCCTATTGTCTATTTAACAATTCTTTCTGCTGCGGATACATTTTGAGAAATTATTTCTTTAACATTGTCTTAAAGTATCTTTTAGCATTGTCTTAGCCGCGGCTACTTCGACTATACTTATTTCTAGTTTCAGTTCTAAAAACCTTTTCTACGAATATCGATTTTTATATCATTCGACAAAATTCAAATGCAGCCTCTGAAAATAAATAAAAAATATGTTGTATATATTGGACCTATCCTCCACAATATATAGATATGGAGATATATATTGTAGAAGATAAGTTCCCCTGAACATAAGCAGGAAAATCTACAGTTAACGGGGGGGAATTAAATCTATAGGGAACTGAGAAAATTAAACCTATAGGGAGATTTGGCGGTGAATTTGAAATTGATGATTCTTCATTCAGATCAAATATTTGAATTATTGTAGAAAACGAAATGTTTTTACAAGCTTTCATTGGTACAGATGTTATAAGGCAAGGACAATTAACTGTAAATGAAAAAGTAATCGAAATTCAAAAACAATTTAATGTGCATTCTTGATATTTATAATGACAAGGAAATCGATTTAAATCACGTTAAAGACTGGGTACACCCAAATGAAATACTGCAATTAGTAACGTATTTTAACCTGAATAAAATAAAAACGTCTGCCCTGAAGATGAGACTAGCGTTGACAGATAAGTTTTCAGTCCATTGTACGTCGAGAAGTTTCCTATTCGCAGAGCAGCGTGAAACTGATGATCAGATGTCTGTGTGGTTAGATAAACAAATCTTAAAATCTAGCTGTTCCTATTACTCAAGTAATGTTACGTTAAGCAAAAAAAATAAATAAATAATTGCTCTCAACGACTATGTGTAGATTTTAGACGTCTGAATAAAAACATAATTAGCGTTCGCTTTCTATTGCCATTTATTGATCACGCCATTGATACATTAGAGTTAGCAATGATGTATTAGACTTGAAAAATGATTTTTTTTCATGTTGAAGTAGACGAAGAACTTAAAAAATATACACATCTTCCAAAACTCAAAATGGACAATTTAAATATTTAAAAGTCCCCTTTGGTCTTGCTAACAACCAAAGCGTTTTCCAAATATATATCTACGACATATTTCGTGATCTTTTAAAGGATAACACTGTAGTAATCTGTACTTTGTATGATATCATTATGCCACCGAAAACAAAACTCAAGGAGTCCAAAAATTAAAACTTGTTTCACAGACGGACTGAATATCGATTAGAACTAAGCATTAAGAAGTGCCAATTTTTAAAACTTCAAATCGAGTTTCTAAGTCACAAAATTAAAAATAAGAAATTATAGCCTTCTTCTAAAACTAAAGCAGTAATTAACTTTCCGAGTCTAATTGTGTAGAAGATGTTGAATGTTATTTAGGTTTAACCAGTTATTGCATAAAATTCATACCTAATTGTCCATTAATTGCAAATCTACTTGAGGATTACTGAAGAAAGATTCTAAATTCAAATTCGAAACTAAAGAACTTTATTAACGAATTGAAACGCATCTTGTCATCTGAACCTGTTTTGTGTATTTATAATCCGAAAGCATAAACTGATGCTAGTGCTAATGGTTACGGTGCACCTTTGTCCTGTTATAGAAATCCGTAACTGATAATCAGAATAGGAAGACGACGGATATTGAACTTGAATATTCAAGCTACATATTAGAAGTTAAAGCAGTCGAAGAGGCTCTCAAAAAATTTAAAGTGTACATATTAGGCATTTCGTTTAAAATCGTGGCAGATTGTAATGCGTTCAAAAAAATTATGGGCAAGAAAGACATTTGTACTAAAATATCTAGATGGAAATGAAGGTTATAAGATTACAATTACACAGTCAAGCACAGACTTATACGAGTAGAAATTCTTATATGGCAATTCAAGATGGTGTAACATTTAAGATAATTAAAGCTGAAGAAACTGATGAAGATATAAAGGTTATAAGAACGTTTTGAAGTCTGAACTGTGAAGATTATTGCTTACGAAATGTTGTTCTTTGTAAAATGGTAAATGAGAATGATGCTGTTAACGATGAATAAGTGTAAGAAGAAACTCAAGAAAACACAATACACTCAGATTTGAAGCCATCGAGGAGAAATACCACCGCTGAAGGAGATTCCGAAGAGAAGCATTTTCCCGAAGAAGAACTGTTTGCTAAAGATAATGAATTAAACACTACCAGAAAAACTTCATTAACATCACCAGCAACACATAAGCAAACAAAATTACTGAAAATGCAGTATCTTGATAGATTTCTCTCGATTTGACTAAAAGACTATTTTTTAAAGGTGCGAACTGTTTTAGGAAGAATGAAGGATGATGTCTAAAGATGAAATGTATTAAAGGAGGCTTATGGGAGATGATATTAAAAAGGCGAATTTAAAAGACGTATCCAGACGAAATTTAAGACGACGTATTTAGAAGACGTATCGAGACGATGTTTAAGAAGACGCATGTACGAAGACGAATTCAGACGGACTGATCCAGATGACGCTAATGGAGAGATTTCACGATGATGACGTTCACTTTTCCCTCAACGAAACGTAAAATTCTCTTTTCCTGTACTTTTTTTTTTTATAATTTTCAGATCTCTAGACAATGATAGCCACTTTTCCAACACGCGAAGATGCATGCCATCAGGATGGAACGAGCATCTGTAGGATGTCATCAGTTAACAGATGGCGCTACAGACAATTTCAGACTATGAAGTGATCTATGACTATGAAGACTGATCTATGACTTCAGATTATGAAGTGGTTTTATGAAGTGATCTCCGACTCCAAGGTAATATATTAGTCCCCATAATAATAATAATGTTACGAATTTTTGTGCTTAAATAGGTGATTTTAGTGGACTTATAAGTGTGTGTGTGTGTGTGTGTGTGTAATTATGGCAAAGCCTCGACGGCTATCTGCCTAAGGGAAGGGATGCCTTCGTGGAGGGACTTTCTAAGGGAAACTGGCTCGTATACACGTTACACATGGGGAAAACCACGAAAACGCCCATGCTGCCAGCCCTTTTGGCGGGATTCGAACCTCGGACCGAACTACCAGTGTTCAGCGACCGCTCGGCCGCTGGTGGGCGGACTTATAAGTAAAATTACTGTGTTTTCTGTGTAATGTAGAGTGAGACAAATTTTAAGAGAAAGATATGCCGGAAAAGTAAAAATACAGAGCGAAGTAAGTGCATTTAACATTGAGTAAATGGGTATCTCGGTAATTTGGCGAGATATCACCAAGCTGACAACGATTTTGGCAACTTATTTTGTCACCAGACTTGGCGTGAACTTGCCAAATGTCGGTAAATTTGGCGAACATGTGGCGACTGTTTGGTTCTGTTCTTTTATAACCGTAATATGTATTGAAAGTGAATAAATGTTATTTACCACTATGTTAGCTGTAACCTTAATTTCACCGTTCGTTTTGCTTTCCAGTAATTTCGAGAGGCAGAAAGTATAATTTGGTCGTCACAAACGCAACTTTCTCTGGAATTCTGCCAAAACACGTGGACTTGTCCAAAAGTGACGTTATTAATTGCTGCGACGTGAAAGTCTTCTCTTCTCCGGAAAGAGAGAATTTATATGCTCGAGAGAAAGGAAGTCCCCATCCTTCCACTCTATTTTGAGAATAATTTGGTGAGAATGGGGCATGCGTATTTGCGCTCAAGAGGCGCCCGAACTATATTAGAAATATCTCGCCGGCGGGTTGAAAACTGTTTGAGGCCGAAGAAAGAGCTTCTGCTGTTGGGTGTCTAGTTAGCTACAGTTGTTATTCTTGTGAGTTCAGCGTAAGATCAGATTAGCATTCGCTTTAGATGCTCTTTACATTGCGTTGTGTTTAACTTTCTTAGCAGTTTGAATTGTAATCACTATGAGATATTGTGAACACTTGTGCGAAAATTTCTGTGGAAAATTCCAGAGTTTTGAAATATTTCTTTTGATAAAAATGAATTTTATTAACCTATTATCGGACTTGTGCATTCAATCTATTACGAAACCATACGCACGTAACAATAATAATATTCTTAGGAACTATATGTATTGCTTTAAAATAGCTTAGTTTTTTAATCAATAACTGATAGATAAAATTTAAAAGATAATAACTAACATTTTGCCGAATGCAACAGACTTGAACGAATAGTGAAAAAACTCATTTACAGTGGCAAATCGTCCTTCGGTACTAACAACTCTTTTGGGCTAAAAATGGAAGATTAATTTAAGGAATTTAGTTGTCGTTATTTACTGTTTGACAGTCACTGTTGTTAAAAAAATAGGACACCTTTGTATGGCTGTAGTCAACTAGAATTAAAATTAAAAATTCAACTGAAATGCATCAAAACTCCTCAAGGTCTATTGATCAAGCTGAGAGTCACTGCAATCAACCCATATCTGATTTAATATGATATTCAAAAGGGCAGTAAATTTAAATAAATTTCTAAAGCAAAATTAAAATAAAGCATATGCCATTGGTTACGAGGATCTATGGGTTTAATGATTATCAGGACGGTGTGATGCAGGAAATTTGGAATAGTAAAATTAAACCGATGGTCATCGATGACTTGCGATTTAATGTTCCCCGGTTGAGTTTTTGCAATAAATTTCAAATTCTGTTGGTCATAGGCCTACAGGATAATGTTCAATGGTGTGATCCAACGTTGTAAATTTAGATAGGTTCCTAAAATTAAACTGATTAAAAATGCATAATAGTGCATTGTAACTTACATAACGATTTAGAAATTTCGGAACGACTTCGCTGTGGATGTTTCGAACATCAAAATGCGACTGTTGAATAGTGTTCTGTAACACGGAACTTAAGTTAAACGTATTTTATAAAAATATTTACATATATAAATAAAACCAATAGCAGAAACAATTTCATTCTTAAGCAACATAAAAGCATGTTTCATCTATTGTACTGCCGTTGCAAGATTAAATTTTATCAATATCATCTTATCGCGGTTGTGTTCACATGATCTATTGATAATTCTAGTATCATCAACATTCAAACTTCCGTGGTGAGTTGAGGTATGCTTACAAGTTGATTGATTAACATATTTGACCACATTAAAAAAAAAAAAAAGAAAAGAAAAGAAAAGAAAAACATATCGGCGCTTTCCGCATTCCCTTTTGTATTTTTAAGAAGTTAATGACATAATATTTGTCTGAAAGATATGAATGCTCATTTTTAATCTATTCAAAGTGTTTGAAAATAGATGGGCTAGATAAATTTATTATTGTATTATTTAGTACGCTGTTTTGTACGTTCATCTATGCTTGTATATATTGTTACGAATTTTGCACATAGATAGATGATTTTAGTGAAATTATATGTGAAATTGTTGTATTTTTCTGTGCAATGTAACGTGAAATATATTAAGAGAGAAGCTATGCCAGAAAAGTAAGAATACAGGGAAAGTCGATTTAAAATTGAGTAAATGGGTATCTCGATAATTTGGAGAAATATCGCCAGGCTGAAACGGTTTGCGTGACTTATTTTGTTGCCAAATTTGGCGAGAAATCGTGGAAAGTCGCCAAACTTCCCGACCATTTGGTGACATTTTGGTCCGGTCTCTGTATCACCGTAATAAGTATTGTAATTGAATAAATGTAATTGATCACTGTATTATCTGTAACCGTAATTCGACCCTCATATTGCTTTCCATTAATTTCTAGAAACAGAAATTACTAGAAATATCTTGGCGACCGGTTGAAAACTATTTTACCTTAGTTCTTAGTAGTTTAAAGTGCAACTACTGATTGTACTCTGTGATACTGTGAACATCTTTCCGAGAATTTCTGCGGAAAATTCCAGAATTTTGACGTATTTCTTTTGATAAAAATAAATTTTATTAACCTATCATCGGAACTGTGGGCATTCAATCTATTACGAACCCGTGCGCACGTAACAATATGGGCAATTGGTCAAAGGTTCTGCACATAAAAAAAACTTTTGCTAAAAAAATTTTAAAAAAAAAAATAAAAGAAAAAATAAAAAAAGAACCCACTCCTCTATGTTCTCCCACATGGGCAAGAAAAATCTTTTTAAACTGCAAGTCTTGTTATATGCTAATGTATTCAGTTTGCTTAATAGTATATTTCTAATTTGAAATTTGTATAATGACTACTAATCTGAACAACACCATTTACAGGTTTCCTGAAACAAGGATGAGCCTGCAATATCTTTTATTTTGTACAGTTTTAGGTGTAGCTCTACACCTGAAACTTTCATGAACTCAGCCTTAACTCATTTATATCCCGGTGAGACTTAACGAAAATCAGGAGTGATAGTACAGATCCAAATCATAAGAAAATGGGTGAATTAACATAAAATACACTATAACAGTCTTTACACTAGTATATCCTGATGAATCTTCTACAAAATATTTCTTCATTCATAGTAATGTATTAATTTTCCTTCATATCATAATTATTAGCATAAACATGCTCGCCAGCTTCTCTATCAGCAAGTGGGGATTGCTACTACACCTCTGCCAGCAGAATTTTAGGTTTGAATCCTAACAAAAGTTTGGATATTTATGACTTGAGAATTTCTGTGAAGAAGGGTGTATGTACAGTTTGTGTGTAGGGAAGCCCGTTTGTCAAATTCATGGCAGGGAAGCCTGCAAATATCACTTGTCACAAGTCTGAGATGTAGATGAATGTTACTTAGTCGTCACTGCGTCCACAGGCATATGACAGATGACAGTTTCACTTCTCTACCCTCTACAGTTTTTTAATTAAATAAATCGAGGATGATAAAGAAGGTATAGAAAATGTCAATTAAAATAATGGGTCATTCGGAAAGTTCTTCGGTTTTTCAAATCAAACTGCGTTTTCTTCTAATTATTTTGTAACCGCTGATAAGGTGCGACCTTGATCGAAGCAAATATTTAAATACAGTCTTTTCTGCTTATGTTGTATAATTCTAGCATGTATTACAGAATAAATTATGTTTCAATGCGGTGCTAAGAATGAAAGAAGTTCATTTTCGTCTTAATATGCGCTTTTATTTTAAAAAAGAAAAATTGCCAGTCTGCCTGTAAAATTTCTGATATTTATTAACAAAGTGCTGTTTTTGATGACATAGTTTAAAATTAGTTTGAGGAGTTTAAGCACGGAAACCTCAGCCCTGGAGATGATGCTGCCTCTGGACCATCATTCTATGTAAATAAGGAAGTATTAAACTATCTCTGACAGCTCAGGAATTATCATACAGACTAAATATTTCAAAAACCATTTGGAAAAGATTTAGTATGTAAGCTGCGTTAATGTATTGATACCCCATTTTTTAAAAGGGCAGAATATGCTTACTTTAGTTTCAGCATGTGATTACTATTTGCTGGAAAAGGATAAGCTCCTTTTTTGAAACGGATTATTACCGGAGATGATAAATAGATAGTATGCAATAACAGAAATAAATAGATAAATAGATAGTATGCAATAACAGAAATAAATAGATAAATAGATAGTATGCAATAACAGTAACAGAAAAAAAGGTAATGGGATAAGCCAAAAGAACCTCCTTTAATAACATCGCTTTTGTTTGGTCAGACAGCAAAGGAACTGTATACTATAATTTATTATCACTAAATCAGACTATAAATTCGGAAAAATACTGTTCCCAAATGGCAGTTTTGAAAGCAGAAATTGAAGCAAAGCGTCCAGACTGCCCAATTGTCAAAAAGTTATCTTGACCAATTCTTCGATGAATGCACATTTCGATGAGTGTCAAACAAAGATGGTTGAGATGTTTTGTGTCATCTCCCATGTACACTATATCTTTCTCCTTGGATTTCAATGTCGTCAGATTACTTCAAAATTCCTTGAATTCCTAGAATTAGTTTCTTTGGAGACTTTCAAACAACCTGAGTAACTTTTTTATGAATAAACCTATTGATGTTTTTTTTAAAAAAAAAGAATTTTCCAGCTGCTGAAGAAATGGAAAAAAGTCATAGAATAAAATTGTACTTATGTGATTCCATTAATTTTTTTTTATGTTTTTGTACTGCTTTATTTGTATTTACCATAAAAAACCGCAGAACTTTCACGGAATGGCCCAATATTTTGGAATTTCTATTTTTCTCTCTGTATCATATATTTATGTGCTGCATTAATACACTTTCATGGCTTTCTACAGTGTACAACCAGTTACTTTATGAAGAACTTTATTACTTTATGAACATTTCTACCTGTATTTCTCATGCATTCTTGCACATCAAAAGGCTACTTTATAATTTTTTTCTTTACGCTATATACATTTCTTTTGAATGTTGAAGGTGCTACTTAGGATGCGTTCTGAAATTGAGAAATGTTAAAACTTATCAATGACCTGGTGACAGCTTGCCTAGTTAAACACTTGATTTCAGTCAAAAGTAGATAGGTACCAGTTAATCAAAAATTACCTCTTCTTATCAGAATTGTTATTGGCTCAAAACTGAGATAAGCTGGCGCAAAGACACCACAGATCGACCTTTGATCTAAGTAAGCTGATTTATTTTTTAGATTCATTGACAGGGGATACTGATCTTTCTCCCATCATCAGAGACCTCATACCTGAGTTGAGATTTGCGCTGATTAGTCATCTACGTCTTAGCCTGCCATTCAGAAAAGTACTCAAGCACCTTTTCCTTCTTTTTGATTTGACTGTTTCCGGATAAGGTATGTATCACAATTTCAGTATATGTTAGCTGACAAAAATGAAACTTTATATTTTGATTTGCATTTACATATGTATGATGTTTCATAAATATTTCTTTTCTAGTAAAACTTCAGTTTATTAGGTAGTCATTTCCGTTTTCTGTCTGTTGCCGTTTTCTGAGAAAAATCGGAAAGGTGTTGGCGAAGTGTATTTATATTTATATTTAATCCTTTTGCAGTTTGCTTACTTGGTTAAATATTAATTTTTACCATAAATTTTACTTCATAATTCATAACAAGAGAGAGTGAAATATTGAACAGCAAGGTGCCATATCTAAAAGCTTTCAAAAAAAAATCTTTTACCGCGAATATTCCTTTGAAACAACTTGCGAAGCGTTTTTCCCCCCATAGCTTATGTTCGATATATAAAAAAAAACAAGAAGCTGTAACAAATATCTTAATATATCACTTGTGGAAGAACTATGATGCAGTAACATAGGCCAGTTTGAGATAAAGCAAAGTCTTCAGACCCAGCACGATTACTGAATGCGAATATTTCCGTTGTTCATAAAATGTGGGATTATTTTCTGATGATGCATGTTTTTATTCTGAAGTTTAATTCCAAAAAATGTCTTAATAAATGTATTAGATTGATTAATGCCTACTCAAATTCGTTTATGATTCTGTTCCATAGTAATTATCGGAGGAACTGTATCATCTTTTAAAACTATGTGTTATAAGGTTTAGTGAACTAGGCCTTTATCATAGGTGGTCTTTTCGTTTCAATAAAGAACAAAGAATTAGGTGTGCATTTATGTGAATGAATGCGAATTATTTGTAAATAAGACCAGATATGATGCCCGACATTACAACACATGGAAAGAATCAGACACCTATCCACGTAACATACTCTAAGAGAACCGTTAAAACAGAGGCCACATATAAATTTAGGGTGCCCTCCCTTGGATGCCCATAAGGACAGATTTCTTTGTTGGTAAATGGAAACTTCATTGCTAACAAATACAAAACCAATGTTCTCGAACTTTGTGAAAAATCTTCACACAAATATAATAGACAAAATAATCATATTAGAAGACCATATTTTTCGATAATATTCAGCTTATATAAAGGAAGAGTACTGACAAGACATTTAGGTGCATGGGGGGCTAACTTTGATTTACAAATTTAAACTGAGCGTGTGTGTGATTGCTAATACCAACGTAACTGCCTAACTACTCTAAAGAAATAATGCTTGTTACTGCATGTTGAGGTTACTGGTATCGTTATAAACAGTAGAAAATATTGCTATCGGTTACATAGTACCGTGAAAGGTGACTACAGTCTACATCGAATAATTTTCTCACTGCTTTCTCAAAACTTAGGTTTGAAAAATCACCTGGCCAATTTATCTTATAAAATATTTTTTCTTGCGAAATACTATTTTTATGCTATTAGATCTTCTGCCAATTTCATCAAAATTTTTTATGTAATTTTTATTTATGTATTTGGTAACGTAGCTTAAGTTAACTAGCCACTTATTATCATCTTTACTACTTCCTTCCGTATTCTTCACCAGATTGCAAATTAGCTGTATTTTGAATTTCAGTTCTCTTTAAAGTATTGATCTATAGATGAAGAAAGAACAAGCAGATTTCCTCTTAAAATAGTATATACATTCTATTTAAATAAAATCATTTCTATTATGAGATTGAATTTTATTTAATTTTCATGTGGTCGAGCTTCTTGAATCTGTCATCGTTGTGAAAAATATTTAACATGCTGTAAAAAATGATTCCTTGGCTTTCATTTCTTGTGAGAGAAGAAAAATTGACGGAATATTATAAACTTTTACCATGATAGCTGGAAACAAAATTGTGAGTGGATAAAAAATAACCTGAGGAGTACAATTAACACATGCACTGGAGAGCGACAGTTTCTAAATATGTTTACTTTGAGAATATCGATGCGTGATTAAACATTAGATAAAAATTCCAGTTTGTTTTTATTATATAACATCAAGAGTTAAAATTAAATTATTAGCATCCAGAATTTAAGCTCAATAAGTTTTAGAAAGCGAAACTGCTGATTTTGCCGTGTAATATTCTCCGGTAAAAGGAACAAAGTGAAAGTTGTTTTTTCTCTGAACAAAGTGAAAGTTACTTTAAGCGTAGGAAATGCTAAACATTTACTGTCCAATTATTTTGCTGTTGGAATTACTATTATTTAGTACATTTTAGACTTTTAACTTGTAATTTTCGTTTTCATGCATGTTGTGATTCTAATTTAAAACTCCAGTATTTTGTTTTATCTCTCCAACTGGGATTTTTAATTGGGCTGATGCAAAAAAGTAGTTCTAAGAGCTTATCATACTTATTCCGTCTTTTAAAGTAATAATATCAAGCATCATGACGCTTGTCTTACTGTTATGATTAATTTAATAACTTATTGCTGATTACCAGAGTGTCTTAGACGGGAAAAATCTATTTTTAGCTTCTCCTACCTGGAATTTCTACTAGCAAAAAACTTACGTGATCTCGAGTTTTTATTTTGCTGCATAACGCTGCTTATCCGACGCAACTGAACTGAGTCATATTTCGAATAAGCCATGGAAGCCATTTTTGATAGCTAGAAATAGAATTATTTCTACACGTATCACATTTTTATTAGATATATCACGCGTATTTATCACTTATTATTATATGCATTACATTTTAAAGCAAATGCATGTATTATAATACATTTATCAATTTGCACTGTTGAAAATAATCAGTCATCTTCTAAATTGTTTCTTTCATAATATTTATGAATGGCAGTGGCTCTCCTTCCTTTCCCATAATGCCCTGCATAAAGATTTGAAAGCGTCCTGTTTTTGCATAAAATATTTTGTGTTTGGTTGGCTTCATCATATTCTATGCATTTATCCCTAAAAAACGAATGTGTAAAAAACGTTATTTGAATATAAACTGTAGATGACTGTTTTCCAGGATCCAGTGATTCAGTGTTATTTTTACTTCCTTGTACGAAGTAAAAAGGAAGTATTGTAATCGCGAAAAGTTTCAGGCAGCATGTTTCAACGAAAATATCCATTTTGACCGCTATCGAATTAAATTTAACGATGTTTTTGCATGATATCTGTACGTAAGGACAGAATAAAAGAATTTTTTCCTCCAAAAAAATTGTGAAACTGCTTTAAAATGAATTCTGAAGAGAATTTTTCGTGGCGTCAGTACGAACGTATGTACTTAAGTATGTATCTCGCATAACTCAAAAACGAGTAGCCTCAGAACGTTGAAATTTGTATATAGGACTGCTATAGCATGTAGATGTGCACCTCGTATTTTGGTTGCAATCGGCCGCACCAAACGTATATAAATATATTTATATATATATATCCACTCTGTTACCCGGCTCAGTGATCTCAGTTTCTTTACTCTTATATGTTTGTAAATTGTACATTTTTTGCTTTAAAATGATTGAATTATGTTGTTTTTATCTTCCGGTTAAGGTTTCTATGACTTTAGTAAATCTCTATGCAATATTTTTAGAATTATCAACAATTTTAAAGTTGTTTAAGTTCCGCTAAGCCTTTTTTTTTATGGCAGCCATTGATTTTTACATTTGAAACAGCAGATTAGTGGATTTGTTGCCAATCTAGAGAAACTTAGCTTCGCAACAACAAAGATAAGGCCTTCGTTTATTATTGCCAATTAAATCATGCTTAATCCTTCTGGAATTTTTTCGAGGAAATAAGTGTTTAAGATTTACTTCGTAATTTTTAATATAGATATTTTGAGTTTTTATGTATTTTTGCCTTCTCGCGAAGTGAGAAACTGAATTAATTGAATGAGAAATACTCAATCGTCTGTGAAAAACTGTTTCTTTTTTGTTTTATTTGCTTAATTTCTTTTATACATCATTCTAGCTTTATTGTAGTATTTGAATAGAACATGTGGCAACGATTAGTTAATTGTATTCTTTAAATGATATAAATTGTGTGCCTTATGAGTTATAATATGAGCGAAATATAGTACTGTTAAGTGAATCTAGCGCCAGAGTGCCGCTATGGTAAACAAATACTAGAGTGAATTTTAAAGAATGCATTTATTCTATTGTGGTTTATGTGCTGTCGGCGAAGTAGATTTAATTCAATCCAATAAGTTTAAATGAAATGCAAGAAAAAGTGCGTATAATTTAATATTCCGTACAAGGAAGTCATGTGGTGTACACATCAGATTTTTTTTTCCTATTTTACAGTTTAGCGAGATTCTGTTTCAGCGAAGTTCGTTTCAGTACAGTTTTATTCTATTAAATATTTATCTCGCATATTAACTACACTGATCATCAATTAATGTTGGTACAGGAAAAGAAAAGAGCGTCTTTTAATTTAGAATTAATTCGAATACGAAAGACAGAATTTTGCCTCTCGCTGAGTCAGCAGTCAGTCTATCAGACTAGAGGGTCTTAATCCTTTGTTCCTGATATGCACCGGCTTCAGTCTGATTTGCTATATTTCTTGAACCAAAAATAACGTTCTCCTTACTGTTGTTTTTAATATTTGATTTGATGTTCTCTTGTTACTAAACAAAATCCCAAATAAATCACAGAAAGAGAAGAATATTTTAAGAAAATAAATTCTCTGGTCGAGTTTCCGTTCAGTTGCAAGCTTCACTTCTCTTTTTTATTTACAGCCCAGTTTTTCAATTCATATCAAAATGCACATACACCAGGCTAAAATTTAAACGGCTGAACTAACGCAGCTTAACTAAGAAGAAATAGCATGAATAATTAATAGATGAGGTTGTAATACGGAGTACTAAGGTCTTAATTTTGAGAAAAAAACTGAAAAAATAGCTGATTTCAGCTTGTTTGGAATTAGGTCCAACTTTAACGGTGTTGATATTAACTTAACAGAAATTGTAGTGACTCGCACAGGAATTGAACTATTTGAGGGAAAGAAGAGAGATGGGCTCGGAATCAGATTATTAGTGTCTTCTGAAGGAATGCTAAGTCATTTATAAAAT